TAGGAGAGCAAGGGAAGAGGAGAAAAAAAAGTTTAAGGCCCTTGATGAAGAGAAAGCCTTCCAAATGCAAACCCAGGCCATCACCGCCTACCTGCATCTGCAGGAAGACTGATCTTGTAGCCCTTCTGTCACTCAGCTCTCTGCCTGGCAGCACTAGGGCGGATTTGCCAGCAGAGCGATCTCCATGCTGCTATTCCAAACCCTGTGGGTGGCAATGAGATTGGCAGGAGTGTCAGCTTCACGTGGCTGCCTGCAAAGCCAAGCCCAGAAGCAGGCAGGGAGTTATGCAATGAAAGAAAGGAGACCTGAGAGGGGGAAACAAAAAAGAGGAGGCTTGAGGAATGAAAAAGTGCTGCTGGCTCCTGAGATAGGAACAACTCTCTAGGATTCAGGGGGAAGAGAAGGCAAGGACAAGATAAATAAAATGCCTCCATATTTTCTGTCCTGACAGTCAGGGAGGAGGTACAGAATTGTAAAGTACTAAAGCCCCAGATTTCACTTCTGTTTGGAAGAAGGGATCTGAGCTTTCTCTACAATCTGCTGGCTGATGGAGTCACCACCTTTCTGCCCACCCTTCCTCCCCAGTCTGTGGCTAGCAAGAGCCCAATAAATATTTTCAGCTCAGTTGGGCTCCACCTGAGTATGGCTTGTATTATATCTAGGGTAATTCTCCTACATCCCTGTGGCACGTCTTCTGCATTTGCACTTGAGCAACAGGAGGCGGAGAAAATAACTTCAGAGGGATGTGGCCACTCACACCCTGAGAGGCACTGTTGCATGCCAGCGGGTGAGCCCTGAGCTGCCTTTCCTGGCAGACCACAGCCTCACCGCCCGAAACCCAAAGCTCCTCCCCAAGAGAGATGAATAGTCCTCTGTTTGCACCACTGCCTAGCAGGGTTTCCCTCCACCTAACTGGAAGTGAGGCTTTAAACTCGTCTATGTCATCCACAAGTCTTGTCCCTCCCATAGCATTATGGGCCTGAAAACTTTAAACCTGACCTGATGAGCTCTGAAGGAGCCTGAAAGAAAAGGCCTAAGTAGCTAGGACACTATAATATACAAATGAACTACTTAATCACCTGTAATACAGGAGAGAACCAGTCCTGTTATGCAGCTCTGCACTAGCTACTGCAAATGTCACATCATTAAGTTCATGTGAAGGAATGCATTGTTGCCCCCTTCTCTGACATACAGGGGCAGAACCCCAGGGGCATATGGGGTTTAAGAAGGGAAGAGCTAGGCTCTGCACCAGCCTGCTCTTTTCCAGGAGCTAGCGTGAGGCCAAAGATCACAAACCCAACTCTTGACTGCTGCTCTGCTGCAGAAGAGGGAACTCTTCTGGGGACAGCCAGTACACTTGAGTAGACATACATGGATGGATGGATTACTGTTGGGCCCTGTCCCAGGCACCTCTTGTTATTATAAAGTCTATCAACACTGCTTGGTCCTAAATGAAAACAGATGCTGCCTCTTTTGTCTCATTCTGGGAGTTGAGGTCCAAGGCACCTGCTGATATTTTAATTTAGCTGGTCCCCAAAGCAGAGCCAAACCCCATCACTAAGGAAGCTGAAAGAACAGCTGTGCATATTACTAGGAGACTGACTGATCACTAAAAATAGCTGCGTTTGGAGGATACTCCTATTCCAGTTCAATACCCTTCCTATGCACAGCATGAGCTCGCTTATTTGGGCCCTCTGATTCTGGCTATCTGAAAGGCAGGGCAGCTGGGGTCACATCCTTACGATGTGCAGGTGCACAAATCCTGTCTAGTCTCGTGACTTTTATGTTTCCTGCTGGCTTTTAGCTGGGAGGAAAGATTTTGCAAATTTTCAGGGCCACCTCATATTGTTTCAGACCAGTTGCAAACAGATGGTGGCATATTTGATAGGCATTGTGTAGGCATTTTTTGTTTCACTGAATATGGAGTTGTGTTTAAGGCTCTGAGCAACCCAACCTTCCTTCTGATTTTAGCTCTGAGTTTTTTACGTTCCTCCAAGTAACAAACAATCCTCACCTCAGTTCCTTCCTCTGCATAATGGGAATAATATCTACCAATTTCAACATGTGAATCTGAAGTGCATGTGAAGCCTCTTAAAGAAAGCATTAAGTTTAAAGCCACTTGTAATAATACATATTATCTTTACATCACATCCATAATTATAGCAAAGTATAGTCTGTCTTAAGAAAAAAAAAACAACTTTCACATCTTAGCATTATTTCATGCTTTAAAAGTACTCACCGCTCCATTAATATTTTGCAATCTTAGCAAGAGCAACTTTGTCTGGAAATGTTTTGGGGGGTCTTTTTCTATTGCTATTTGTAGCAAAGTCAGAAGAGTCACTGTTACGATGCCCAAACTACATCACCAATGATCCTGTATCCCATCATTATCAGCTTATCTGGTGCTGTGAGTCATCTAAGAGCTCAACAATTATGAAGCTTACCCTATCTGTTTGAATAAATGCTGTATCCAGAAAGACTATATTAAAAGGCCATTAAGGCTGCCAAATCCAGCACTCAGGGTTATGCTTGCCATTTCAGGTCTGCTCCTCCCCAACCTAATTCAACCCATTTTGTGTCTGCATTGTGTTAGTCTTCTACTCCACAGTCACTGGCTGTTTTCTTTACAGTGGAAGCAGTCTTGCAGCCCTCAGGTCTTCAGTGGAGAAGCAGCCTCCAGGATTAGGTGTTTTTGCTCCAGCATTCACAGAGCTGTTGGAAACTTCAGAGAAGGAAGAGCTGGAGAGAGATCCCATGCGTCAATTCTTAGACATTCACAGTGTGCGACTGCTTTGAACTGTCTGGGTAGAGAGGAGTCAGTGCTCCACCTTATTTGGCAGCTGTTTGTTGAGCACACATGATTTCTGGTTTTTCAAAGGCTTAGTACTTGGCTGAAGGCAGCATTTTTTTCCAAACCCCAAATTTCAAGCACAGGCTCACAAAAACACCACCTGACTCACAGAGATGCTCTGATGTAGGCAAATATTGTTTTTTTTTTCATTCCTTAGAAACATTTGAATCTCTTCCCCCCTCCTTTTTTTTCTCCATTTCCAAAATGGTCCAGCCAGGTAAACTAGGGCCTGGGTGTAAGCAGCAACAAACATGGTCTGATAACAGGAAGCTCTCAGGCCCTGTGAGCTCTCAGATCTGCAATTTCCCAGTAACAGAGAAACTCAAGGAAAAGCTCAGGCTGTTCCTGTGCTGCAGTTGCCTAAGATGCTGTGTTTGAAGCCTCTGCCCTGCTTTCCTCCTTGCTTTGCAGACAGTTTCCTCTTTTTCCATGAATTCCCAACCACACATACTTGTGAACTCCCTCAGCTGCAGTCCAGTTAACTAACCACCATGTGGCTTTGGACAACCAGTTCCCAAATCACCCTTAAATTTTAGCTGACCATTTCATTCTTGACAGCCTTTCTCCTTCTTGGTTTGAAAGCTGTGGGTTTGGGCCTCTGCCATCTAGTCAACCAAGACATTGCAGCACGCAGGTTGTATGCCAGGTGTGGTCATTGCAGTGTCTTATACTGGTTTATTAGTGATGCCAGAGGCCGTCATTTCCACAAGGAAGCCCTTGTCTCCTCCTGAAGCCTTTTCCACCTCATCTTACTTCTTCCCCTCTTGTCTGCTTGCAGCTGGGAGTACTATGTGAATGATGCACCTCGGATAGTCTTGGACAAGCTGGAGAACCGTGGTTACCGGGTGGTCAGCATGACAGGCGTGGGCCAGACACTGGTGTGGTGCCTCCACAAGGAATAGCAAGGAAGACTTCTGCATTCCACCTGGACAAGACCCTGCTGTGGATCATCTTGCACAGGACTGACAGCAAGCTTTTCCCCTTGAGTAATTCCTTTCTGTCCCAGACTCCAGGCACTTGTGTGGGTGGGTGGGTGGTGGTGGTGGGGAGGCAAAAATTCACCTAATGGAAGCTTACCATCCCTGCCATTGCACAAGGCCTTGGGGGAGGATGGTATGCCCAGTCCGGACTAAGGGTAAATCATACACCGAGAACAGATTGCTCTAACTATGCATTCATCCGAATGGCAGTCTGGCAAATACTATCCTTTTACATTTTAAGCATCCTCTATTTAGTGTGCATCGGAGGGAGCTCAAATAACAGACTTATCTGTCTCTTCCTTAGGACTGCCCCAGAGGGGTACGTGCTGAGCTGTGAGGGTTCAGAGCATGCCACCACCCCGTCCTTGGGGGAGGGGGCTGGGAGGGGAGGCCAAGCGCAGATGGCATACTCACTCATCTCTTGAAACCAAAGCGGTGGCTGCTAAACCTGCACACTGCTCTTTGAGAATCCCTTCACTTGGCAGCGAGGCCAGTTTCTCTCCCAAATGAAACTGGTTAGCAGACTTTCAGTCCCAAGACTGCTATTCAAGCATAACACCTGGTTGCTGAAATAGCCTTAGAGCAGCACAGGAAGGTCCAGTGAACATTTCAGGCATGGGCTGCGTAATCTTAACAGCAGCAGTTGCAATGCTGGATTGTTTGGGACTGTGTGTATTGATCCTGCTGTAGAGGTAACACTAATAAAACATTTCTCTAAAGAGACTGATATCTTTCCATGGGCTGTTCTGAACTGTTGTTGTTGAAACCTTCTGGATCTGCAGCTCCTGAACAAGCTTTCAGGAATGAAGAAGCTTCAAGCTTTGAGGAGTTTGGGGTTTGTTCTGACAGCACCTCTCAGATCCTGTGACTAAGCAGCTACTCTAAGTACACAGGCTGATGAGGTACTCAGAAGCCTGTGCAACCATTTTTTCCCTTCTGTGGGAAAGGGATAAGGGCTGCAGTCAATGGCAGTTTGCATTCCTACAACAGTTTTAAAAAAGGAGGTTTATTGACTTAATTTAAGAAAACAGCTTTTTAAATGAAGAACAATGGGTTGGGGGAATCCATACTCTCTCATCCTAAGTGTGAGACTCTTCCTCATCTTCCCGCTTGAGCTGTTCAATCAGCTGCTGTCTCTCTGCTGCTTGGCGCATCCGCATCATCACCAGGCTCTCATAGTCTCGCTCTGAGACCACTGATCTCTAGGGCAGAAAACAAATATGAACTGAAAAGGATAGTACATAGCCCAGACCCTGACTCCCTACAGTCTCCCTCTCCATAAATCACACTCACAACATGCATTTTCCATTCAAGGAGGTGGTTCACAGCAATAGGATCCCAGGGAAATCAGTAAGGTGTGAAAGCTGCCCGGCCTGCAGAAGGTAGCCAGCATCCTAATGAACTGCATTACTGACTCTTGACCATGGCAGCAGTGAGACAGAGAATGGGATAGACAGCGAGCCTGAGTTACTGTCTCGCTGCTGGAGCTACTCCCACCAGCTCTCAACGAGGCTGGATGGGGAAGCATAGCTTGCCTTGCTGTGGTTGGTAACTCTGGATAACAAGCTTGCTCTGCAAGTATAACACCAGTGCACAAATTCTAGTTTACAACGAATCCATTGTAAAGGCTAACACCATAAAAATCAAACCTTTCCCTGGTATAGTCATGGAAGTGGCTGTACAAAGAAAACTAGGTGTGTTCCCAAGCCTTGTTGAGACAAGAGTGTTTTAGCTCTCAAAAGCTCTTGCAGTGTTACCGCTGTATGCAGTAGCAACTATCACGTCAGCTAAGTGGTGACTGCAGCCTCTAACTAATAAATGTAGGCTGCAGATGACAGCTGCTCTCTCAGAGCAAAGTGGTGTTTTTGGCACTCTGCTTTCACAAGCAACTTAGCATTAGTAGGTGGCCTTACCAATTTTGAGATACTCAAAGCACTGCAATGCTTGGAAACATCCATCTCATTTGCTTGACACTTCAGGGTAGAAATAAAAGCATCTTGACAAAAGATGAACAGAAAAAAATCATGTTCATTTTTCTAGGAACTAGATTTAATGATGATTTAGAAAATGTAAGGGATGAAAAGCCACTAGAACAGCAAAATAAGATTCTGCAGGAAAGTGAGGCAAGTGCAAATTTGCTATCATATGCCAGCAAAGTGGTTCCTCCAGCTGCAGAGAGACTAGTTGTGAGGACAAAGTAGAAGCCCACAATAAATTGAAAACTCAGACTGGGAAACTAAGAGACTATTACACCATAACTGCTATCTTAGGAACTGCATGAATGAAATAACCTTTCTGCATTGTGCAGCATGGATTTTCATAGAGTCTGAGAAAGAGCCAGATTGTATCAGTCTTCAGTGGCAGAACTAGGTTTCTTCAATATTCCTGTCCATTAACCACAGATATTTACCGTCATCTGCCTGGCTGAATGAATTATTCTACATGAGACTCATGCAGATGAGTCACCCATACAAACCTGAATCACTACTTCACACTCTGAATTTAAATCTAAAACAGTGTCTTTTGTGAGCCCTGCTGATACAACAAGCCATCAGAAGTGACAGTAGGAAGAGCACCAAGGGAAGAATCTCAGTCTGTTCAAGATCGGCTACAAGTCGACATTCATGTTGGTGGTTCTCAAGCAATCCGGATGTCTCTGAGGGAGCTTGCCTTCTCCTCAGGCAGAGTGTGGGCTGATGCTTTGCTGCTCTATACACCTACTTCCTGCAATCTTGGCAATTACCAATAGTGTAAAACCCAGTTTCTGACGTGGCTGACTCAGCAAGGGCTTGGCTCAAAACAAATACATACGCACAAGGAATTGCAGCCTGGGAAGCAGTGACAGGAGGCAAATGAAGAGAAAGAGGCATTGTGGATTTTTAGTGTTCTGGGTCCAGCCTGGCCGAACTGTCCCTGGACTTGCTTCTCCCAACGTCTCATCGTATTGGTGAACGTGGTGGCCACAATTCTCTCCGAGTGCATCAGCAGTTTCTCCTCTGTTGGACTCAGGTGCTGTTCCCACACAGAGTAAGTCTTTATTTTGCATTTGATTTTCCTAACGCTAGTTACACATTCATTTTGTTGCTTTTTAAATTTCCATTCGTCTGTATTCCTTTGGTTTCCTTCAGTGTGACTGAGTCACCGGCTCCCTTTCTAACCACCTACTGAGATTTTTATACTGTGCCCTACACCATGAAAAGTGGCTGGTTACCATGGTACCAAAGTGCCCTTCTGTTCTAGATGCTAGATTAAATCTGTTCTCATGGTGACTGTGTGCTACTGCTATTCTTCATCAGCTTGTTTCTGCAACACAGATTCTGTAAACTCAAACATTGTCATTCCTTCTCTACTGAAGAGAGACTCCTTAATATATGACATGCCAATTGCTCCCTAATACAGGGATGTAGTGTGAAGAAGTTTGCACTTCCTGCAATACCAGCCTCTTTGTTTTCCTTCTAGCTACAGAAGGAAGGAAGGAAGTGGTTGTTCCTGTTCTGTGTGACTTGCTGCCGATCCTGCAACTGAAGTCCAGCATCTGACTGTTGAGCAGTCAGCAGTTCCCTTCTTTCATTGCCTTTCACCAGCATGGATACCTGGCGGAGAGGGTCCATTAAGTCTACAACGTTCTTCAGGCGTTTCTCACTCAGGAGACACAAAAAGCTGGGCAACCAAGTCATCATCTTGAATCAGAACAGCCACACACTCGACAATGACGGACAGTGCCAGAAGAGGGAATGCTTAAGGGATCTGAAGGACAAGTCTGATTACCTGTCATGTCAGAGTGAGCAAAACCTAGCCAAGGCACAAGCACCTCCCAAGCCTCCCCGGCTGTACCTGGACAGTTCTAGTTGCCCTAACATCATTGATCACACAGATTCTCACTCTGACATCTCCTTTTCTGGTGCTGCTCATCAATACCATAAAGCCACTCAAACTCACTTCCACAAGGACCAGGCTACAGACTGCGGGACCTCAGAGACAGGTTCCCAGAATGGCACACCTCTTTCTGATCTGTCTGATCCCTTCTTGTCCTTCAAAGTGGATTTGGGGCTATCACTTCTTGAGGATGTGCTGCAGACCCTCAGGAAACAGAATCCAAGAGATTATGCCATTTGAAGGTATTTACCATTTAACGTATCACATTTACCTACTGACATTGCCAGTTTCTCTAGTCCTAACAGGAGGAAGGATACTGCCGTATCCCTGTTCTGAGTGTCCTGTTTTGTTGTTCTTGCCTGACCCATCACAGACTGTTCTTGTCCTTGCTTAGAGAGTCCTCTGGAGCAGAGCTGTCAGGCTGCGTACCTAGATGAGAGCACTGTCTGCTGGAACCTCACAAGTGAGTTTCCATTCTCCACAATGGGAATTTCCCATTCTTAACTGTGCATTTTCTCCTCATGGAAGAATGGCCTTGTTTGGCAAAAGATTTATTTTGGGGATGTGGCTGTGACTGTGTGGAGCATGGACAGAAAGGGATGTAGTGTACATCGTTTGTGGATAACCAGGCAGCTTGCAAGGAGACAGCAGTGCTGCTATCTGAAAGCCACAGCTATAGCAAGAGTCAAGAGACAGAAAATTGTGTTTTTTCTCCCACTACAAAAGTCAAAGATACTCCTCCTTCCCCCCCCCCCACCTTGTGGCTTTCTCTTCCCCTAATTCAAGTGCAGCTGGCACTCCCAGCCTGGAAACAGGTAAGCATCCATAAAGGCTCAAAAAACAGCAACAGTAGTTTATTTATCCTACTACCAGGAGAAGAAATTTCTCTAGATACTGCTGCTTGAAGCATGTGCTGATCTATCAGATGTACAGATATAAAAGAATAAATGTATTTGTGACTGGAAGTGTCTTGTTGCCTCATTTCATTGGTAGCAAGCCAAAAAAATCCCCAGCATCAAGAGCACAGATCTCTTGATCTGTAATGGTCAAGGCCTGTCCTCTATGGTCCCTCAGGTTTTTATAAGCAGGGTGCAGAAACAGTATGGCTCTGGTTTTCTGGGCTGGGAAAAGGCTATTGATGCTAGCATGCTATCATCCTCCCCGAGGAGGAGAGAGCACATACAGGTAAGAATCAAGACCCAGGGCTGAAATGAACACAGTTCTTCACCTGCAAGCTGGATGGCAGGAAGAGCTCTGACAGGCTGAGAACACTTTGGGCAGTGTTGGGGTGAGCGATTAAAATGACACTGCAGAAGCTACTGGGTCTTCAAGTCTTACCTTTTCACATACCCGAATTAGATACCAGGACCCCTTCTAAAAAACAATCCCCATATTCCCCCCCCCTCAAAAGAAAACAACAACAGATAGATAAGCATAAGCTTTGGAAACAGGCAACAGCAATATGCACAGAGACATCCCAAGAAGCTACAGACAGCCCTTAACCTATTAAATTCACATTAGGCTATAAAGGCAGATAACATGAACCAAACTTGCTGCAGCCTCAAAGGAGCTTAGGAAAGATGCAAGACAGTGCCAGACCAAAAGCTTTTCTCAGCACTTCAACTTGGCTGAACAGATGGCCCAAAACGAGTGGGGAGCACTGGTAGGGAGATACCACTACTAAAGGTGCAAGGATGACCTTCCCAGAAATGAGTGCTTCACGCTGTCGTAGTAGCAAGCAACAAGTCTTCCCAGCATTATACAGCTGTGGTGTGCTCTGAACCACCCAGAGCTGCAGCATGGCAATCACACAGTCATTGCTGTCAGCTAATCTAGAGTTACAGTGGCTAATCCACAGCTCTTGTAGTTCAGGCATAACTCTCCCGCTGAGCTCTGGCAGCTCTCCAGGAGCATATCCTTGGCTGTGGGAAGAAACAAGCCAGCAAGGACTGCAGGGGCAAACATTGTCTTCTCACAGTGGGACCCTTCAGGAGTCAGCCTCAATTTCACCTGGGAACTGCTTCCAGAGCTCCTCTGGCTTGAGTGTGTGTGTGCCTCTCAGTTATTTGAGGACTGTGGTGCACAGCTCCTGGCCAGCTACCCCAGGCAGGGAGTACACGCAGCTTTGAAGTGGATGAGTAGTGAGCGTGTTGCCATGAGAACATTGTGCCTCTTCATCTGTTTTCTGAAGGAAAGTGGGGAGGCAGCTGCATTTGCACAGAGTGGGAAAGAACAGGGGGTGGAATCGGCCAGAAATATCCAGAGGAAGCAGCAAATAGGAAGTAAGGGCAGCTTAAAAGAGAATGAGATCCATGCAGAGCTGAAGGAGAGCTTGAAAGTGAGAATGTGGGCCTTGATGGATGGGAAGCCAGACTGGATATGAAAGGAGAAGGTGGGGAGTGGATCAGGGCACTGCCAAAAGGAAGATATCTGAAAGACTTCAGTTCGGATAGTCTGGAACTGAAGAGCTGAGGACAAAGGGTTAGTCAACTAGAAGTACAGCCAAGAAAGGTGATTACCAAGTTACTGATTTTGGAAACATCCTAGTGGAAGCAGGAATAAGATTTGGGAGAGGCCCTGGGGTAGGAAAGGGTAAGAAAGGAAGGAATCAGAGTAGCCTGGAGGTTTTAGGCTGGACAGCAAGACTATAATGTAATCAAAGAAACAGCAGATGCTTACACATAAAAGCAGTTGAAAGGATAGACGAGCATCAGAAGTGTGATTCTTGGGAAAGGATGTAAATCTGTGGTTGTAACTCCTCACCATTTTAAGAGCCAACATAAGAATTACAGGGCTGCGCTGGACAGAACTGACTCTCTACCTCCACACTGCATGAACACCATTGGTCACTTTTCTCTGCTTTCCCTTGTTGCTCTATCAAGCTAATCCCTCACAGCAGGCAGATGCTGCAGTTTGCTGCACACAAACAAGCTTTGGCTTCGGAAACAAGCCAAGACAAACTCAGTCACAAGCCAGGGCTTTCACAGTCAAACCTTCAGAGGCAAGAATCCACCATCAAGTTCCAGTTGTTCCACTGACCCCCTTAGATATGAATGAGCTCTTCAGAGTCAGTTCTTGGTCTCTACTAGTGAGGAATACTCAAAATCATTGGACTGGATTCTGCTTCTTTTCCAGTTGTTTTCTAACACTCCAGCTACCTCAATGAATCTGGAGTGTCTGTAGGGCTCCCAATGGTTCTACACTGTGCATGAAGATCCACTCAGCTCTGCTTCCTGTGGCTACTGGGCTATGCTGTTACAACTGTTTTTTTGCCAGGGATTTCTGGGAAACGATGCTGTTCAAGGCCAGGCTGTTCAGAGAACGTCCATCCCAAGTGAAAACATCCAGCCCCAACCAAAACTGGGACAGCAACAAGGCATTCTGATGTGTAAAGGCATCTACTGTAACTAAAGTGCTTAGCAAAAAGCTGGGACACCAAATGTGTCAAACAGCTTCACAGGCTGCCAAAAATATTTAGGTAGTGAACACATAAAAGGCTCATCTAAATGCACACACACAAATTAAGGGCACCTGCAGAGCATGAGGCAGGATTCTTCTCAGCAACAATCAGATCTGAGTTTTGACTTTTATACCACAGGGAAAGGAGGGGAGGGAAAGGAGTGTCACATTAAGTTTGAACTGGAACCAAAACAACCAACAAAGGAACTCAGGCTCCTTCACACCTTCCCTCTCAGACAGTCAAGATATCACTAAATAGCTCAGAAAATATGCAGAGCACAAAATGTATTACACTTTGCTCTATAGCACTGAATTTAACATGCTTCAAAGAAATGAACATAATTTCCACTCCAAAGGGCCAATGGGAGCAGACAGTAACTGACAGCCAGCAATTTGTTGCAGCACGCCTCAGAGCCTGAAGAAACCTGCTTTCTATGTTTTAACCTCTAGATATTATTGCCTTTCATCTATGTTGCATTTGGAATACATTTGCTACCTGACAGCAACAGCTCCAGATGGATTAACAATCACCTTGCACTCAAAGTGTCTACCAAAGCCATTAATAACACTGTCAAAGATGACCTAAAACAGACAATAAGGTCTCTTTACTAGGACGTTTAGTTTTGATACTGCTTTCTTTTCCCTTCCACAGACCCTAAGAACATACATTTGCTCTCAGCGTTGAAATCTCATCCTCAGTGAGTAAACCAACTTCTCTAAACAAGCCTTCTAGGAGACCCATTCCAACCAGCTATCAGCCACAGGATTCCGAGAGTCAAAGTGTATTAGAGCAAACACACAGAAGAGATGCATTAGAGGCTTCAGGCTGAGCAAGGAACATCTTTTTCACTTGGAAGAGAGACTGTGGAAAGAACCACTCATCCAGGTAGCTTGCATCTCGGTGTGCTGCTACTCAAGTAAAAGGTCACTAAAAAAAAGGCCACTGGTTCATCATAAAAAGGCTCATTAGAAAGTCAGGCCCTTCACTAACAGCTTCTCTTCCAGCTCTGCTGGGAATCAATGTATTTTACGCTAAGTATGGAGCACACTGTTAAATTTAGGTTGCTATAGAAACAGATTTAAGTAACAGCAGCCTGTGTTCGCCTTACCTGTGAAGTCCTTGGCTGACTAGCACTGTCAGAAGGGACAGCGCTGGGATTATTCTGGGGCTGGCCCTCTAGCCAGGAAATCTTTAGAGGATTATTTATCAGGCCAACTTCATTCTTCACAGCCATCTCCTACCAATGAAAATATTCTTTTATCATCATCTGAATTTTGGAACACACTACGTCGCAGCTCACTACCAATCCTAAGAGTTTTTCCATCTCAGCCCTGAATCAAGGCCAAGTAGGGCACAAATAATACAGGTTTCAAAGCTGCCCTACATAGGAAGCACCCTTTTTAAAGGCCCATACCTGATTCAAGCACAGAACGGATATAGCACTGCCAGTACTTTTAATAAAAAGAGCACAGATACTTATTTTGATATATTTTGATTATTTGGATATATGAGTGAAAGAACAGATGACAAGGACTCTTGCATAGTATAATTTTAAGTTGATGGAACTAGTAAAATTAAGAGTAACTGATGATTTTTGTTTCCACTGCCACATGAGTGATTATAACGCATAGTGAGTCAAGATATTTGGGAGTTTGTTTGCCCCCACCCCAATCTCCAGATGCCTGATATAGCCTCTAAAACTCATGAAGCCCACCCCCACAATAGGTAATTAACGCTCAGTCAGAGCTGGTTCAATAGCTCAGTGCCTGCTCTTCAAAGCAGCAGCTCTTCCCTCAGCCATTTACATGTGCAGCCTGCTTGTTTACTGGCATGATCTGCTCTGGGTTTATGCTCTGGGTTTGCCACTCCCTTCATGCATCCGTACCTTTGGACTCTCATTACCCTTCTCCACTGCCTTAATGACAAAACAGTGGCTCTATCTAGGCTGCCAGTCTGCTAACCACTCCCTCATGCAACACTTCTCCACTCTCCACCGAGTATATCTGTGCTCTCCACCAGACTTACAGCAGCCTTAACCGTAGCAAATTCCACAACTGCACTTCCTGTCTTCCTACTTGAGATCAACAAATTGAGAACCTCGCCATACTGTAAGAACAAAAAAAGAAAGCAAAGTCTATGACACGCTCAGATGAGAAGCAAAGTGCATCTACAGAACACATGGAGAAAACATACATCTCCACAGACCTAAGGCTTGAGCTGTAACCCTTTCTGTATTACATGACGTTTACACGGATCCTGACCTGTCATAATTTCTGCCCCTCCGGGAAATGAATTTGGGGAGGTATGTGGCTTCACACCTGACTTCCAGCAGGCTACAGTGCAGGATGGCTGCTCAGCTCAAAGTCTGAGCTACAGCAGATACTCTCATGAAGGGAAAATAAAAAAAACACATGCTGGGATTAATCAGACCATAGGCTCTCATCTATTCCTGTCTCCTATCTCCTCACAATAGCTAATGTACTTTAAGTGAAGGTGAAAATACATCATAATCACACAGCCAGTCTAATCTTTATGCAGAGCATGAACCATTCATGGAAAAGAGTTTGATAACTCTGCTTCAAGCAGGAATTGCTGCTGGGAGTGAGATAGGGACGTCAACTGGGGAACAATTCATAGCTGATGCTGGCAATCTCTGAAAACGGCATGAGTGAGGAAGCTGGACCACGGCAAAGAAAATGAGCTACTCTGGTTTCTATATAACTTCCAGACTTACTATCTTTTCTTATAGCATGAGAGCAGGGAAAGATCAAGTAATAAAGACGACTGTCAGACAGGACCTTTTGCAGGATCCGCAACAGAACATCTTTTGAGTATCCCCCTTTTGTCTCATCTTCTTTCCTGCATTTCCATTTCAGCTGGGAAATAAACGTGACAAGTTAATTTTGTCTACTTCAACACACATTGCCATGCTGAATGCAGTTCCTGTCACCCGCAGAATAATCAAGTTGGCTATTTACAGCTTACAATCCCAACACCACCAAGACAGTAATTTTAACAACAGAACATGCAAAGGGAATAAACTGTTCGGGCAACAAGGAGAAACACTGTTCATTGGAATAAAAAAAGCCCATACCTGAAAGCATATTAATGGCTATATTAAGGTAAAAAGCAGATGGTCTCCAGTGCCTAAAGCAGAGACAATTCAAATTCAGGCTCAAAAGTCTAGATTAAATAGTAAATGAGGAAAAGAAAGGGGAGGGAGGAAGGATATTTTATAGGCAGTGACAGGAACTGTTTGCATCCACGATGAGTGCTAGCTAGAGGAACTTCACCTCCACTGTACAAAGGGCCACGCCAGCTCAGCAACAGAGTTGAGGTGCCCCTTCTGGTTTCCAAAGCTGCAAAGGTTCTGTCAGTTTTCACCAAAACCCAGCTTTATAGGAATATCTTACTTTGAGTTTGGGGGTTATTTTGCTTTCTGCTCCATTCCCTTCGTGTTTGCCTAAAGAGAGTAAAAGAAAAAAAAGATAGAAATGACACAAGTGAAAATTTTTCTCAGTTAAGAGAGCATTAGCAAAAAATTTGCCCTGAGAACGTACATACGGCAACAGTAAACGCACCTCTGAACTTCTTCTGCACTAGACTATTTCAGCCTCAAGAGTCTGGCACAATACACCAGAAGCCTCAATATAGAGAGAATACTGGGTGCCAACATTCTTCCTTTCTTTGATGCCCAGACTTGCCACAATTAAGCACAGAAAGTGCATAAGTAAAAATACAGGTGGGAGCCCTGTGCATGTTAGATTCTATATCACTTCTCCCTGCAAGGGGGGTTGCACTGCTAGGAACAAACGTGGAAAAATTAAGCAAAGACAAAAATAAGACCAGCATAGCCTGAGAATTTACTCTGGCCCTATAACATAAATACATTATAGTGATTTGCTCTTCATCCAAAGATCTCAGAGTTTTACAATAAGTAAATGCTCAACACCCTCCTCAGTTCTTCATATGAGGAATTAAGTTAAGAAAGGCTAGGGTGGGCTGAATAACTTATGTACAATCTCACAGGAAAATCCACGGTCACCCCAAAAGAGAGGTTCTACGTCTTGACCTCTGGTGTTATTTTTTTTACCCATTAGATCAACATTCTCCCCGTGGGAAAGCGGGAGATTTTATGGTGTGACCTCTGCCAGAATGAAAGGGTTAGGAAGCAAGAGACAGTTAAGTCTTCCCATTAAACTGAACTCCTGAACAAGGAAAATTCTAACTTGTTTTGAAAAGGAGAACAGAATTTTTCTGAAGCATACAGCTATTTTAAGCCCACAGAGACACAGAGTATTAAAAAAGGCAGGTCACTACAGAAAGCCGTGGGTGGGAGTGAGGTGCAGGAATACCAAAGGATGAAGTGCAGGGATTTTGGAAAAGCTCATCCCCTCCTTTATGAGGGGGACTAACTACAGCTCCCAAAGAACCTATGAGAATTCGAGGGAGACAACCTCAAACACAGTAACTTTCTATTTGCGTACTGCAGCACAGAATGCAAATGTTTTCCAGCTCAACATATTGTTCACTTCCTGAACGATTTGGTGTTGGTCTCTGTACAATGGAATGTTAACTATGGAATGATAACTATGCATGCCCAAAAAACATGAGAAACAAGTTCCAGGAAGTAAAACTCAGCAAGCATAGATTGTACAAGACTTTATTCTCCTCACTGCGTCTCCTTTGGATGATAGAGACTAATGACTTTCAAAGGATGTGGAAGTAGTGACTGTCACTGTTTGCAAACTTGAACTGGTCCCTATTCTTAAGTATGCAAGGCTGATTGCTTTGATTGTGACAGTCAGATGAGTGTGACATTAGCCTCCTTTCCCAACAGAGCTGCAGGGCTCCACACGAGGCCATCTAGGTTCAATGCTTTAGGAGATGACCACCCATATTCATTGCAGAGGAGCAGCCACAGACAATATGTGAAAGAGCAAAATGCCACACAAAGGAATAAATTTCCCAGAAATATTAGCCTTTTGACTTGTCCCTGAAAATAAGGTGCTAATTAGGAGTCTTATATGTGGCAATGCAAAGTCTGCCTGAAGGTGAGTTGAGTCCTAGGGGCATGCAGTTTGGCTAAGGACTTCAGTCTCATCTGTCCTCACCTTGGATGCGCTGCTCTCTCTCAAGTCGGATCTGTTCTTGAATGAGTCTCTGCTGCTCCTCAAGCTGACGGGAGCCTTCTTCACGCAGGCGTATTATCTACAGGACAGGTAAGACAGCATGAATATCTCAGGGTATGGTTTAATGGTTGGCTCAGAACAGCCGAAGACTGTGCTACTGACAAGGAGAACTCATCCTACACTCGTCTCTTGAGGCAAACTCCTTCCTCTGTGCCAGCCCCACTGCTCATACAGTGATTGGACCACCCATGTTCCCTATGGACACAGTCCGTATCGGTTAGCATACAGGCAATTAGCTGTTGCTATTTCTGCTCTGCAAAAGGAAAAAGGCAGACTTAAAAACAAAAAATTAAAAAAATTATCTGAGACTGACACATTTGCCAGACTGCTACAAGACCCCTCCACAGACAAGCCTCTCTCTCTGGCTCATAGAACTCATGTTCCAAAAGGCTGAAGAACTGCTACACTCAGGTTTGCTGCATCTCATCACATCATTCTCACAATGAACGTAAAGACTTCTAACAATTCTTCTCAAAAGCAACATAAACATCCAAGAATTCATCATTACTTCCTGTTCTAGTGTTCTTGTTATCCGGATCTCCTCCTCTTCATTCTCACGGGTCTGGGCTTCTCGTTCCCTGGCTTCAAGATCTGCAGAGAAAGGAATAAAATTAAAATCATTCAAAGAGAATTTTCCCTGTTGCCATTGTTGTCTAAAGAGCTCGACTGAAATTCAAAATAGAGTCCTGATAGCTATGCCACCTCTCTCCTGCCCAGGTACAGCGAGGTACTAGCAGTCCTGGTGGCCATCAAACATCTCAATACCTTCCCAGAGTAGGATCATCCCCAGGTATGATTGTGGGAAAAGATTTCAGATAGCTACTACATTGTACTAGGCATAAAAGAACATAGCCATTTCAGAGGGACAGCAGTTTAATGATCAGTGGTGAATTCCAGTGGTAGAAGAAATGCAAATACCCAGCTAAGGAACACTTCAAGACAAAATGAAGTTTTGATTTCATTACCAAGCTTTACTTTCTTTCGCCTCTCATCAAGCTTTTGTGTCCTTTCTGCTGCTTGCTTCTTGGCTTTTCTCACCTTGTCATATGCCACCTGTCAAAGAACCAGCAGAATAGTGTGAAAGGGATAAAATGCAAAGTGATGAATAAAGGAGAGATCAGATATTGAAACACTTTAATCAGAGGAGAAGCATTTTCTGTCTCTTTTTAGTATCCCTCCTAAAAATGTTAGGAGTTAACACAAATACCCTGAAAACATTAGAAGAGGTCCAAGGCTCTCCAGACTGGGCCTGAAAGGAAAGGTCAAAAAGTCCAGGAATAACTGCAAAGTATATTTGAGAGAAAGTCTAACCCATTTTTACAGGTAGGAAGAATATTTTGGGTTCCTGAATAGGCCAAAAGTGGTTTTGGGGGCACTGGTAACATTGGCAAAGAAACGTCATATTCTGAAAGGAATGGAAAAATTATTTATTTTATACCTGGCGATGCGTATACCTTGGTGATGGGTCAGGTCTGGCTTAGAGTAAAGTTTTAAAATAAACAAGGTTTACTTTACATGAAAGGTTTATTCACAAGCTGGATGTGTAGTCTGACTGCGGGAAAAGTATCAGATCAAAGAACATTAGAATTCTTCAGTAGTAATAGCACATCATTGTTTGTTTAGCAGACTGTTTAGCATACAGACTTTAGAGCTGGAGTATACTGTCAATTTTACTGACATTTGTTTAAAGCAGTTGATAATCTGTTTACCAACCTCCACAGAATCCTTCTATAGTAGGTAAAGCATAGACCTACACAAATGCTTAAAAATTACTTTTAAATAGTCATACATTCAAGCACTGCTCTTGTTTTATAAACTAGAGAAGTTGATGTTTTTTCTTCCTGCATGTGAAAGGTTTGCTAAACACTTTTTCCCTTTTAAATATAGAAGCCAAACTGTTCTTGGAAGCAAAAAGCTTCATCGTCCCTTGGAAGGAAGATTACAATTTTTGTCAATGTTTGAAAAGAGAAGAGTTGTATCATGTTATTAAGTCTTATCATCTGAAATTTTAATATGCCTTCTCTCATGAGTTTATCTGGATAAAATTATTTGCTCATGCTGAACTTCTTGTTTTTATTCTTTCCCTTCACACATCCAGACTACTTTCAGGGCTTGAGCAGCAGGCACTCAACCACTACTTCAGCAAGAAGAGAGTCCAAGCTACATCTGGCAGCCTGTAAAGTTCTTGTAGCAAAAGGATAGTGATCAAGACTATGATCTGGTTTTTCTGTTTGTAAGTCTGTGCCTCATGGAAAGAAAGGCTTTGAGCCCTAAAGATCGCAAGCCTAGATATTATTTGTTTGTCCGACTGACTTCAAGGGAACTGCAAATGCAACGAGGTCACAGGAATTTAATACATCTCTGAATCAATCAGTGGTGATTATTTATTTCTTTATTTTAGAAGTGGTACACATCCCAGTTTAACATACTATTAAACACAGCATCTCACTCCGTAAATGGACAGAACCATGCAGAGAACATCAGATCGGACTAAGAACATTTGTCTTAAGTTTTTATCTGGCACATACTATTTGATCTCACAGTGAACTACAGGGCAGAACAGATGAGACAGATGAGCCTTCCTTGAGGAAGGCTCAATCAGAGAAAAGAGCAGGGAACATGACAGACAGGAGGAGAGTTTTCACTACTTCCCTGTCAGGCTTGCAGAGATTAACACCACACACTCCTACCAGGATCAAAAAATAGGCCTCCTTACCCTTGCTGCTGCATCAGTGAGCACTGCTAAGGCCTGAGACAGTTGGTGGAAGACTTCCGCTGGGAATTAGAAGAAAAAAGGGTAAGATGCAGAAAACCATGCTAGTGGTCTGGAGATGAACCAGAAAAGACAATTCCTTATGGAAGAGACCTGCAGAACATCAGAAAGAAGAATAACCTTTCCAAAGCATTTGCAAGTGAACATATAGCCAGGATCTCCATAATTCAAAGCACAGCCTTGTTATCTAAACTTCAGTGTAAATTAAGAAACAAAAATTGGGACCACTGCATTACAAGAAACATCCGAAAAACCTGAATTCAACAGAATCCATATAGAAATGCACTCCTGAACCTGCAGTCACTCTGAAACAGTGTGTTCAAAATAAACTCTCCTTTTCATATGAATAACCTTTCAGCCCAAGATCCAAACATTCCATTTTACGTAAACATTGCTGACCCTTTTCCTGAAAGGATATGCTTATTAGCTGGAAGGCCTCCCCACACACTTCAAACCACCTCCAGACTTTCTGCAGATAATCAAAACTTCCAGCTTTCCTCTCATTACTGCAAAATCTTAGGTTTCCTGATGGCAGTTTCCACACTACAGTTATCAGTCTATAAATCTGCGGTCTACCAAACTGGAAAATGCAAGACGCAGGACAATGTGGTTATTTTGAAGTGTCTTAATGAACGGCATCCTTCCAAATACCGCCGCTGTTCATTTTCACCTGCCGGTAGTTGCAAAACAAATGGAGAAGCTGTAGAATCCACAGACCTTGCTAACAGTTGAGGTGTACTCAGCTGCACAGAGTCAGGGCCTACTCTCTAACAGACAATAATGGGCATTGCCCATATATAACAATGATTTATAAGCTTGCTATTAAAGTTTCGATTCTCAGAAGAATGACTAGCCAGCTAACATCAGTGACAATATGGCCAAAGGTCCAGGATTCAAGTACCAGATGGAAGGATTTTGAGAAGTGCAAATAAAATTTCAGCATTCACTTAACACTTACGCTTTTGAAAGCCAACATGCATGCATTTAATCTTAAAACCCAGAGGAAACGAGCAAGAAATATAACTCTTAATCCTGCATGTGTATACATCACATGACACAAAATCAGGTATTCCCTTAACTGCATGCAAAGACAGACCTGAGGTTAAATAGAGCCACTTCCAGGAATCTGCACATGTGGATCAGACAAGAACACTGGTTTGTGTTCATATGTTCCAGTCTTACCTGCTTTGGGATTGTCCGGGTTCTTATCTGGGTGACAAGTCAGGGCCTTCTGGCGGTATGCTTTCTTAACCTGTAAGAGCCAGAACAGAGATTTGTCAGTTGGTACTGTTTGGTCTGCTCTGAGAAACACAACTTGGAAAAATGCACCACAGAAACATAAAAAAAAAATCCTACTCAGAGGTTTTGTTTGTTTGCTTTTGCTCAATTTAAAACATACCTCTCTATCATAAGCAGAAGACTGTAGTTGAGCCAACATTCATTTGCATGGCTAGAAGTCTCCCGGGCCTGATAGAAAATAAAAACCATTTTTGGAGTGCCATTAGTCCCTCAAACACAAAAAATGAAGGCGCCTACTGTAATAGCAAGAGAATACTGAAACTCAATTTTCAACTTCAGTGCAGTGACCTGCCCTTTTTATCACACAGTACTGAAAGGATAACCATTTGAGTCCAGGACATTTAGTAGAGAGACAGCTACATTTTCAATCAATTTAAACTTTTTAAGGTCAGAAGTTTTACTTTTAGGTGCATTGTGCCACAGCAGTCATGATCATCAAGACCAAATCTAATACACTGAGGCAGAGTTTTCTACCCAGTCAGAGGCATACAGTGTTCTTAGCAGCTATAGCTATTTGGGACAGAGTATGTGCAATTCACTGCACAAAAATTGAGTTTGGCAGGTGAAGAAATTTTGACCAAAGACTACTTAATCTCTTCTACACTTCAAAGTTAAATTGACAACTTTATGGGCTAAGTCACTACAGAGGCTTTTAACAATTTGAGTTCTCTTTATCAGGGGGAACATATGCATGCAAAAAAAGCTGCTCTGTTCAACTGCCAAGCAGCCTTAATTCGACTGAAAGAAATAAGTGGTGGCTGGGCACCACCTGGTGGACAACACTAAGGGAAGGTAAATGTGTAGCTGAAACATCATAGGCCTAATTCTATATCCTCCACAGGTAAGACTTCAGCAAAGAGAGGGAAGTCTTCTCATATGCATCATTCACAACTATCTGAATAACTGTTCTATACAGTAAGTTTAGCTAAGGCTTCTCTAAACAGAGAAGTTAGATTTCTTTAGGCAAAGATTAAGTAAGCTTTGCTCCCCTTTGTTCAGCTCTTTTGGGGATGCTTCTCTGAACATAGTTCTCTGAGTTGTTTCAAGTATTTTATACCAAGGAGTAGAACTCCAAATTACACTTGTCAATTTTTAAGTTGTACTGTAACACTCAAATTGTAACTTTTTTTTTTCCTCCCTCATTGAGCAGCTCAGCAGCAAAGCTGAGGTCAACTGAAGTCTTTCATCTCACTCAATCCTGTGTTTTATATTTGGCTTATTTCCCGATTTCATGCTTATGGTACCTGGAATTTCCAGGCAGCCTCTGATACAATTGCTGGACAGACCCAGACTTCCAAGTTTTACTCAACTGTTCTTCTAATGCTCTTTACTGCTTAAAAAAAAAAAAAAAAGAGAGAAAGAGAGAGGGAACTTAACAGGGGAAAATAAAGTTTTTCTTTTAAGTTAAACTTTGTTCAGGTAGTAATAGTTTTACTTAGCAAGTCTTACTGCCCTTGAATAGGTCAGCCAGTTTCCCCATTTAATCGTGTAGGCCCTTCAGGTATTTATAGCATTGACTTAGCTCTTTAATTAGAGAAAAAATAGGAACTTGTAATTTTTAAAAGAGCACAAAATTAGTAAGATATCTGATGAGGACCTACAGTAGCTAAAAACGATCTCTAATAACTGAGTTTTTTTTTCTTTTGTAAACACCAGAGAGGAGCCTTCCTTCTGAAGGCACATAAACAAACAACATAGAATAAATATTGGCTGAGGCTAACTGGAAGTTTGCAACTCATTTCAACTGATTTCATCCTCTTCCAAAACCAAGTCTCCCTCCACAGACTTAAGACCAGAAAACAGAAGCGTCAGTTGAGCACAGCCAGGCCAACATTAAAAAAAAGGAGTTCTTTGTCCTGTTAACAAGTGCAGCAGCCAGCAGCTAACGGGCGACAACGCAGCACCACGCCAACTACAAACGCAGCAGCGCCCATAGCAGCAACACCGCGTTAAAACGGCGCTCGGGATCATCGCTGCACTGACGATGCAGGGAGCAGCGCAAGCACACAGCCCCAAAGCCCAGCCTTCTCCTCCCCTTATGAAGCGGCGGGAACTTCCGTTACTGCGTGAAAAGCAGAAAAGCTGAAGCAGCAGAGCAGAGGGGTCCCGCACCACGGAAGCCCCGGTCCTGACCTCCTTCTCCGACGCCTTCTCCCCGACTCCCAGCAGGCCGTACAGGTCCAGCTGCAACACATCCTTATCGACCGCCATCTCCTCACCGACCGGCTTCTCCTCCAGCTGCTGCCGAGCACCTCGGGCCCGCTC